TTGTCGAATTGACAGACCGTAGGACCGGTGGGACCTAGAAGGCGCATCTCTTACCATTTTGACTCATCAGCGTGATGTGCCTGCAACCCGCTGAATGATGTTGTTCCCACTGAGACTCAAACCTCATACCCAAAGCTTCAAACACCAAAGCGCTATCCATTAGGCCACTGAGGCACTGATTGGGAGGTCATTTTATTGTACCAGTCCGAGACAGAAAATAAATTATAACTAAAATACCTTAAAAGTAATTTACCTTCATAAATACTTAACATGGCTGAAAAGGTACATGATTTGAAGAAATGTGGAATGACACAACCAAACTCCTCTTTGATACTGTTCATTCTAGTCCCCTAAAATAAACTAAAATACGTTTTACAAAGACAGAAAAAATGAAGTGGAACCACCAACAAAGTTCATCAGTTCAAGTTGTCACACCTCAATAAGTACAGAAATAAGTAACGTTCAGAAGTAAAAGGAGTTCAAGATAGATAAAAAGGATATGAGAGTAAGTAGAAGAAATGAGTGAAGAATAACAATATATATTCAAATTGCGAGGAAGACAATAAGTAAATATATTCGTTCTGTTGTAATAGGTTTTAGCTACGTCACTGACAGTCTTCAATTATTGAATCCGAACTAAAATTTCTAGAGCCTCAACCAGACAGCTTGTTTACATAACTAATGATAAACAATTTCATGGATTGACACCATTTCCCGGTTTAGATATACTTAGTATTTTCTAAGCTGTTCTTATACCAACTAGTGTAACCTGTCTTAGCGGATGACGATCACGTGTGAGCAATGCATATACTCACTATATGGTATAATTACTATTTAATTAAAGACATGATAGCTAAAATAAAATTAGAATAGTAATCTATTTTTAGCCACCTCTATCTTCATCAGAAAGGAAGAAAACCCAACAAACATTTAAGTGATACAAGGCGTTTATGCACTTATTTTCCAATTTTATTTTAGTGTATGGAATATACCCCTAATGATTTGAAGGAAGAACAAGTATTTCAGCGAAGAGTCTCTTTTCATTGGTTTCATTTCTCTAAAGAATATCTGGATTGAAAACGGTTTACGACCACGCTTCATAGACAAACACATCAAACCAAAATCTTGCAAAAAAGAACCTTACCACCGTGCCAAAAAAGATACTCTATATGAATCTCATCTGAAAGGTGATTCTGCAGCTGATACTCTAAAAAGGATGTCAAACGCTCTAAGGAGAATATTCTTTGCATCAACGCTGAGACTACTATTCTCTTGTCGTCCAACAACTCAAAGGAGAGACTTTCACATATGACCACTTCTAGGTGTATATATCAGTTCACCTGCTCTTGTGGAGCCAGGTCGTTCGATGAGACTATTATCCAAAAGGGTACAAGAACACTATCCCGCGCGGTTACAAAGAGGTAACAATGGGGAGATAAGGAGTTGCATTAATTGAACACATCGTGAACACAAATCACCCTATCTCAAAAACCTCCTCGTTTAAAGTCATCTATAAAGTGGAAAGAAACCTCCCAGACGCTGTATATCTTCGTATTCTTTGCATCGCCGAAGCTCCTGCCATCTAAATGGAGAAACCTGGACTATGTACACAGAAGAAGATTGCTCACCCCCTTCTCCTTTCATGGTTTTAGTTTTCAGTCTCCTCTACTCTCCCCCTTTTTTCTTTTCATTTGTTTGTGTTGACACGATTCCCTTCTGAAGTAATTTGGTACTCATTCTTGTTGCTATGTTCTGCCTGATCACAATTCAGTTATCAAACTTTTTGTTGAAACTTATTTTGATTAATATCCACTACTCATCAATTTTTTTATAATTTTAATGACAACTCATTTATTGACACTATTTGTGCTTCACAAACCGTTTTTAACCATAAAATCCTTACACCAGAAAATGTATAAATTTGCGATTGTACAACTTTAAAATGAAATCGCCGAAAAGAGACTCTTCGCTGAAATACTTGTTCTTCTTTCAAATTTTTATTTTAGTGTTATAAATGACATTAAAAATAGAGTATGCGTATTTAATAAGCTCATAGTTCTGTACGACATAAGTTGGCTGAATTCACCTCTGTAGATTCCGTATTCAAACTTTCATTGACCCAACAAAGAACATAAGAAGTTCCTCGTGTCCATGAACTGATCATACGTAGTACAAACAGATGGACCTCTCTTATAGCCATCCTCAAAACTGTCACGTTAAAGACTGAAAATCTTTTATCTGTGATCATCACAGTGTCTCTTGTCTAAGTCATATGCTCTATAGTAGTGCTAGAATCCAGCCTTTTAGACCCAGTTTGATAGTATAGGCAATATGTTGACTGAATTCATTCAGCTATACTGCTGTTTACGTCTTCCACTATCTTGTGCTGCATGATGATCACTCCCATTAGTTGCTTAGATGAGTGGTATCAGTTGTTAACTGTATCAGATTAGCAAACAATTCTACTAAACAATACTGAATGCCACTAATCTCCAGACCAATGCGAAAATATGCAGCGCGTTAGTAAGTGAGTAATAAATCATGATAAAATCAAAATTATGATAAGAAATATGGTCTGGAATCGAAGCATGTCACCTATATATATATATATATATATATATATATATATATATATATATATATATATATATATATATATATATATATATATATGTTACTGTAGCGATGAGAAGCTAACGCCAGGAAAATACCTTTTCAGTCAATTGTAATCGACACTCGTTTGAAACAGCTCGTCTCATTCATAAACAGTTAGGACAACTAAATGTCAATCATATGCTTTAACAGAATCTAATAGTGAAATTTGGAAGATACGCTCAGTTGTATCCAGAATTGATCGCCTGGATGTATCTGCATCCCACTGTCTTGTCCCCCCCCCTTGGGCCTCAGATCCAAGACCATTCGAATTAAATAGGCTGTTCGCACGAACTTCTAAAAATTTACTGTAATCAAATGATCATCTTACAAGTCGAAAATCCCAGTAACAGCTAGTAATCACTGAAAAAGACGCAACCATAGCAAATCCCTAGTCGAGTGCATAAAAACACATCTATGTATTTGGTCTAACTCTGAGTTGTAAACCATCAATTCCTACTGAGATGTAGGAAGATTCGGCTAAAAAATCGTAAATAGGAAAGAAAGTGTCGTGGATTCCGCCATTAGTCTCTACCAGATACATAGCCAATATTTCGATAAGTGTTATGCGAAGCACTCATACGAGAAGCCCATATACTAATAAAGACTGATCGGTTTATTCCTACAAATGAACAACCAAAAGTCAATGAATTTTTCTTCTACCTACGAAATTCACGTGATTTACCATGTTTAGCAAAGCACTATGTACAGAAACAAAATATTCACCATACTGTTGACATTCTATCAGATTTCAAATATCTAATTACAACTCAAATATACAAACGGATGTATGAAACTAGTCGCTTTATCCTATACTGTTGGTTAAAATAATAAGGGACCTGAAATCGCTCATATTCTTACCACAGCCTCATGTCATAATGGAATCAGTCTATGTCCTTCGTCTGAATAATATTCTCCTGAAAAAGCATTGACTATTAAACATTTCAGATTATATATTCTCATCAAATTGCTATCCAATGGCTCGTCAACATAACTATTATTATTATTATTATTATTATTATTATTATTATTATTATTATTATTATCGCTTGAGGTCAACATGTGGTATTCTATCAATAATGATGATGAGTAATCGTGAGACCACATATTAAAATGTTTGTTGTGAAAGCAGACATTTATTGATTAGTCTATGAATACTATGGTCTTTGATGTGTACTTACTGAGACAATAGACCTTGCGTTTTTGCATACTATTCAAAAAGGCTGATATAACACCGATAAAAAGTTGAGAGAAGTAACTTCTTTTTGTAGGCGTAAACCCTAGTGCGTCATTCATTTAGTTGTTGGATTTCATTCTGAGGATTCGTTCAATGATAAATATATCACCGGGTAGTTAACACAATAAATGTTATTTGCAGATGTGAAGCTTAGCATTTTTTTGACGTTCATGAGTTTACTGCTAACTCCCTGAAGAATTCCAATATTACACGCCGTTAATTTATCAGGTATCATCTAATCAAAGCTTGAAGAATAAAAATTCACTTAAACTTTAGCACCGAAACTAAACTAAATCCAAACTTCGGTTGACTGGTTGTCACTAATCATCATTAACTTGCGTCAGATTTATATTTTAACCTTTTCTAAATTAGGTATCATTGCTGGCAGTGGAATCCAGTACTCGCGTCTAGTCCTATTAGGGATTCGTTGGCTAGATGTATCTACCTCCGAGTGGGTGATGTCGTTCCTGAGACTTGCATTCAGGAACAATTGCTTCGAACTGTGACATTAAAGACTTCTAAATTAGTATGTACAAAAAGCTATTCACTAGAAAGAGTATCTGAGATAAAAGGATCCTTACCAATGAAGTTTGTAACTGTAAGCTGTAAGGCTACAAGTTCTGATGTGAATGACATATGCTTTCTTTTTTCATAATTTGTTGAGCTATATGATAGTGAAAATATCACTTGTTTCAACTTCTATGGACAACCTTGAAATTACTTGTTAAAAGTTTATCTGCCTATTATGACCAAGAGATTCAGAACAACAATGAACTCTCTATACCTGTTAGAGTTCACTTTCTTCCGCTAACCAATGAGATACATAACCGTTATATATCTCACCCTGATTGGTTAGTAGAACTTTTATCTCTCCGTTTTGCATTAACCTTGGAATAAGAAAACACCAACCAATGTTGCTTACAATGATCTAATGAAGTAAACATCCCTTGAAACAGACATATATATATATATATATATATATATATATATATATATATATATATATATATATATATATATATATATATATACAGATGCAGATATAAGGAGGTGATCATTACCAAAAAATAGTCATGGTAACAATTAGATTTATTGTGTTTCTTTCAATAATTTCTGTTATCACGAGTTTAACACTTCTGTCATGGGAATAATGTTCGTCGTTTTAGGTGGTGGTTATTCAACTAACTACATTATTATATTACAAGGAGAGTGAACCAATAAAGAACTGACCAATCAGTACAGATACATAGTCAACAAAAATACCACGATTCATTTTCATCCCTATAAAGTCAACAGAATTCATCATTGAATTATTATCCTTCCCATTGATAAATGTACAAATCATGAATCTACAAAATTATATTAATCCACCTAAAAATTTTGTTAATGAAATATACCCAGTTATAAGTGTTGGACGGCATAGTCGTGAATACTTGGATCCATTCGACAACAACTTAGTAAGTATTGATTTCCATATTTATTTTGTCAAGAAAAGTCGTTATCCCATGCTATTCCTTTGGTATTCTCCATTGCTAGTTTACAGGATGCAGTTACTCAGTTCACATTGAGAATATTAAGTTCTGTTGTACACGCCACTGTGACATAATAGTAATTACCGCTCTTTAAGTCTAAGTTCCCTTCAGAAGGACTTCTGATAACGGTCTAGACGTAGTCTTCAGTGCTACTTGATGAGAAAATAAATTTGATCAAACTTTTGAAGGTATTTGTGGCACTGACCTCCTCTGGGATGAAAAGCAGCTGAATGGTCTGTCTGCTTCAATCTTCGTAATAGGTTTATTATATCAGATTTGGCCTATTCGACAAGTGGCGATTGTTATCATCTTGGTTCGACTATTATCATGTTGATACCAGTATACTTACCCACGTATAATATTGCCATGTTAGTATGATGATAGTCGACTTCAACAGAACCACATTCTGACTCATTCTGACTTTGTTTCACGCTAAAAAATTATTAATTTTGGGTTTTATATGACAGTTGGAAAGCTTATAATGATAAGCTTAGTTAAGCATATTAAGTAAAGAGAGTAAGATTACAAAATGATAGCATCAATCATGAAGAACATGCTGATGAAGCAACAGGCATAATTCATTGAAGACAATCAGCTAAATGATTGGAAACTATCAACCTTCGGTTGCTTTTGAGTGGCTTGAACCTTTCCTTTTACTTATACGTACTGTTGTGATTTCGCTCTTTCACTAATGAGAGAAAAGGCGGATGAAGCATTAAGTTTTGGGGATCCCAAATGTGTCTTTCAACAAGGTTGAAATCAAGTTTCAAAGTATCCTATCGACCGCCTCCAACCATCTGACATCAAATGAACAATACTCCGGTGTTTAATAACCAAGTTTATCAATGGAGTCATAATAACAATCAATAAAATCCAGTATTAACCGATAACGAGTGTTATAACGTCGGTTGCTATCGATTTACTCGTCAGCGTTATCAGTTCATTCCCAAAGTTGGTTATTCACAACCCTAGAAAGCCATTTGCTACAAATACAACTGCACAGCTAAATGATGCACGTTTAAATCGTGGAGGTAACGAGAACTTCATCGACGTTGTGAATTCATTTTGTTAAAACCAAGAACAAACACAGAACCTATGATGGAGAACACATTTCGATAATCAGGGCAGATAAGAAGTTCCCGTTGTGCTGGCTACATTCAGATAGGAAACAGAGAAAAAGATATAGCATGCTGCTATTTTCCAAAACACATCACTTTGAGCCACCAAATAGCTTGTCGACTTGACCAAGTACATTTTGTTTAAGCCACTTGATTAAAATCCTGGTAGTCATTTCTGCATAATGATTATCTACGAGATCATTTTTATCAATTTAAAAAAATTAACTGTTTTGAGTAAACTATATCACTAAAAATCCTAACAGATATCTTAAACTATGGATACATGAGTTGAATATACACTAGAATAATGCAGAACAAATCACTAAAGGTTTAGCTATTGTATGCTAAATTTTAAGTGATAATATTCTTAGTTTTTTCAGAAACCAGAGCAAGCTATAAACAGTGCTAAGTTGACGCTCACTGGCATAAGCATTCAACTCTCAAGCAACCAGAAATAGCTTCGATTCTTGCTTCACCTACCGATGTATGTAAAGTCAAGTAGTAGTAACAATAGGATCCATACAATTAATCTGGCTTACTGCCTACTGAACGGTCACACAAGTAGTTGCTCAGTACATTTTCTTGCTGTAAAAAGTAAGTCAAGAAAGTTAAGAACGTCTCTCTAGTGAATAAAATATATCTCTTTTAAAAAACATCATCTTTCCGGACAGATTCGAAATGTTAGTAAGAATACTGAACATCAGTTACTACATTATTTTTATTATTATTTGTCCTTCGGGTTCCTAATGGAACATAGGGCTTCAGTAGCACGTCTCCATTTCAGTCTGTTCCCTGAAACCTTTTGAACCTGGCTCCATGACAGCCCAGAAGCTCTCATTTCCTCCTCTCACGATCTCCTCCATGTTACCCTCAGACACCCTAGTCCAACTGGTCGCTTCCCATGGGGGTTCCATTCGAGGGTCTGACGCGTGATGTCCCCAATCGGCCTTCTCAATGAATGCCCAATCCATCTCCACTTCCTTCCAATGCATATTTGTTCAGCGACAGCTTCTTGGTTGGTTCGTTCCCAGCCAGATATCCTTGTTGCTCATTCTTTCCGGTCATCTGATCTTCAGTAACAAGCCAGTGTAGGCAGTTGTTGATGAGTGTCTGTAGTTTGTTGGAAATCCCTTTCGTAACGCGCCAAGTCTCTGAACCATACAGGAGAACTGATTTGACGTTGGTGTTGGAAATCCGGATCTTGTACACGCTTTATGCTGAGTGCAGTGCAGTAGATCTCCACACTGGTTTCAGGTTAATGAAGGCCTGACTTGCTTTTCTGATTCTAACTTTGAATCCTCTTCTGTGTCGCCTGTAATCGAGACAATGCTGCCTAGATAGGTGAAAGAGACTACCTCCTTTAGGTTTCTCTCCTTACTGGTGATTGGAGCTTGTTGTTGTTGCTGCTGTTATTGGTTAGGTATCTTCATCACCTCTGTCTTCTCCACGTTCACTTGAAGTCCCGTCTCCCTTCGCCGCCTCACCACTTCTGTCAACTTGTTAGTTTTCGCCTACAGATCTTCCAGTTTGTGCGACATCAGACACAAGTCATCGGAAAAATCCAAATCTTGTAGGTTCTTTTCCGTGGTCCAGCGTATCCCCTCTTCTCACAGCTCCTCACTGTTTGTTGCATGATCCAGCCGACCACAACACAATCAGGAATATCATGGATGATAGTCGACAGCCTTGTTTCACTCCTGTCTTCAATTCAGATGCATCACTGAGCTTCCCATTGTGAATTACTTGCCATGTGGCATCTTCATATAGTTGTTGAATGAGATCGATAGAAGTATGTGATATTCCATAGTGTTGAAGTAACTGCCAAATTACTTGTTGGTCGACGCTGTCAAAGGCCTTCTCAAAGTCGATGAAGTTGAGGTAGAGAGTCATCCGCCATTCTATGCTCTGTTCTATGATGATGCTAAGCGTTGCAGTTTGATCCCACATAATTTGTACTTCCTGAAGCCAGCCAGCCTGTTCCGGTGGTAGTTTTGAATCCAGTGCATCCTTTAGTCTCTTCAGGATGATGCGGCTTAATATTTTGCTGTCTTTGGACGGACAGGAACACGAGCGTGATTCCGCTCCAGTTCTTGCAAACACTGAGGTCTCCCTGCTACAGCCGTTTCACAAGATAGGCCTTCTCCTAATCGACAGGCAGGTACCTTCCCCTCCTTCCACACCTTCTGCAATAGTGGTGTGCTGTGAGCATGTCCGCTGTTGTCTCTGAGTCTACTCCCAGTGCTTCTGGTGGAATTCCATCTGAACCTGCTGCTTTCCCACATTTCAACACTTTTATGGCGTTCAGGACTTCCATTTTTGTTGGAGGATTTATGTTGACTTGTAGTTCAGCCGCTGGGCTGCAGGCCGTATTTCTGGACGAAGTGCATGTTATGGTGGTGGTCGATTCAAGAGCTTCTTGAAGTGGTCGGCACATCGTTTCCTTTGTTTCTCTTCTTTTTTAATTAGATTTCCCTCATCATCTTTTATTGGTTTCATCTGCGTTGATCTCTTCCCTACCAGATAGTAACCTGGTTATTTGATACAATGTTGTCAGGACTCTGTCTCTCCTACCTGCAGCCTGTTCTGCTTCACTTGCCAATGTGTCAGAGAAGTGTCTTTTGTCTTTGCGTGCACTCTTCTTCACTTCTTTGTCCAGTGTTTTATACATTGTACTCAGTTCCTCTTCTCGTTGTGCATCCTTGCACTGGTTCATCTTCGGCTTCACCATCCTCCTATCCCTCCTCTCTCTATCAGCTTCTATGTGTCCATCGAGATCCACTCCTTATTTTCTTTCTTCTTCCTTCCTAATACATCAGTTACTATGAGATGACCTATTTGCATGTGTATTCATTTAAACAACCGATCGCTTGTGTCCCCAACAGCTTAACGATAAGTCCTTTGACTTCGGGACTGAGTAACTGAGGTTTATATAGTTGAGGGAATATAACTCCTCATTGTTCCAGTAAGAATTCACTATCAACAAGGGAACGACATAGACCCCAATTCTGTTGTTAACTGTATCCAAAAATCCCAAACAGACAAACCTGAACAACTTTATTTCGAAAAATAAAATCACTATTATAACAGAGGTATTTGTCTGAAGTATCTTTTATTGAACTCCATAATCTAGGATTTTGCAAATATATTTAAATAACATAAGCATAGCGATGAGATAATCGCTTATCAGCACTGTGTTACAGTTATCTAGTTTGTCGTACCGCATTAATTAATTTCGAGTCAAACACTATATGAGTGTATGGTCAAACTTAATAGGACTAGTTCGTTCACTCACAAAAGAGTGTTACCCGTAAACTACACATCTTTACTACACTGTTTTTCTTGTCTAGATATGACGAAGGGGATATTTTATGTTCAACAGTTTATGAACAACCCAAGGAAGATGATATCATCAAAATTTCACCTACTTGTTTTTATTTAACTGAAGACCAGGAAATCTATCAAAGCCTAGCTTTTCACATAAAGGAGATAGTTAACTTACAAAAAAGGGCTTAACGTCCAAAACCACTAACTGATTTTTGTCTGCTGCTGATGAAAAATACCAATATTGAAGTATAATTCGTTAACAACTTGTTGATAGATAAAAACAGTTCACTGTTGTAGCAAGATAGCAATGTATAAATAATACTTAACCTCGAAAGATACTTCAATCATTCTTCAACTAAAATCTTCACCTCCGGTAGACCTTATGAAGTATAGATAGGCTTCCCTTCTTAATGACTTAAATTTCTCATCACACTTCCCAATTGTGTTCTCATTGCTTAAAGTAATTTATCAGTGTCTTGACTCATTTTTATTCTGAACAATAACAGTATAATACTACGTGTCGATTGAAGGTGAAATAGATACCTGAGTTGAAGCAAGATTCAATCTACTGGATTGGTGTTCCATCAAGTAACCTACGATATAAAGCTACTGACCACAACTTAATCTCACTTCAATAACTAAAGGTTTTGTCTGACTCCTATATGAATCCACGAAGCGTTACTATCTACTCATTGCATTCACACCGTCAGCTCAGCCGATTTGTAGCTCATTTGCTGAAGTACCAGGTCAGTAACCCAGAAGTCGCTGGTTAGAACCTTGTTATGGCACAGATTTTCACTTCATTACCAGTTATCATTTAGTATCAATAATGGTGGATTCAAAATGACGACAGAAACAGGCTGGCTGGCTGGCTTCAGGAAGAACAAATTATATGCGGATCAAATTGCAACGTTATGCTACACTACTCATCATCATAGAACAGAGCATAGAATGGCAGTCAACTCTTCACCTTACCTCAACCTCATCGATTTTGAAAAGGCCTTCGACAGCGTCGATCCAGAAGTCATCTGGCAGGCAGCTGTTTCAACACCACGGCTTAAGTACCACAAACCTTTATCAACCTCATTGAACACCAGCTATATGCTATATGATGAGGATGATACATGCTGAGTGATTCACAATGGAAAGCTGAGTGATGCCTTTGAATTGAAGACAGGTGACAGGAGTAAGACAAGGTTGCCGTCTACTATCACCGATCATCTTCCTGATTGTGGTCGATTGAACTGAACTGGACTGGACTGGTATGGATCATGCAACAGACAAGTGTGAGAAGAGAGAAGATGGGCATACGGTGACTGGACCGATGAGAAGACCCCAGGGGGAGATTTGGATTTCGCCGCCGATGATGATTTGTGTCTAATGTCTTGTCACACAAACTCCAAGATCTTCAAGTGAAAACTAACAAGTTGGCAGAAGAGGTGAGGCAGGTCAGCGAAGATGGGACATCATTCAGGTGAACGTAGACAACGAAGACAGAGGTTATGAAGGTACACAACCACAATGACCACCACCACCACCAACAACAACAACAACAAGCATCAATCACCATCAACGGGAGGAACCTAGACAAAGTAGTCTCTTTCATCTACCTACCAGGGTGGCATCATCTCAACCACAGGTGACACAGGTGAGGATGTTAAAGCCAGGATCGGGAAAGCGAGATAGGCCTTCATTAATCTGAATGAAACCAGTGTGCAGATCTACTGCTCTCAGCAAAATGTGTGAACAAGATCCGGATTTTCACCACTAAGTCAGTCAGTTAAGTCAGTACTTCAATGTTATGGCTGAGAGACTTGGTGCTTAACGGAAAGCATTTCCAACAAACTACAGGCATACATGACATCAGCAGCTGCCGCCTACCCTCACTCAGTACTGACACTGAAGATCAGATGGCCAGAATGATAAGAATAGGCGACAAGGAACTCTGGTCTCCCAACGAAATAACCAACGAAGAACCCATCGCCCAAAAATATGCAGAAGAAAGTGGAGGTGGATTTGATTGAACATACACTGAGGAGACCATTTAGAGATATCACGAGCCAGGGCACGCCATCGAGTGGAACCCAATTGGGAAACGAGGAGTTGGGCGTGAGAGTGTGACATGGCGGAGACTATGTGAGGAAGAAATGAATGAAATTGTTATGGGCAGTGGTGGAGCCAAGTTGAAAAGACTACAGAAAACAGAGTGAAATGGAAACGTGCTACTGAAGCCTTATATTCCACTAGGAACCCAAGGGACAAATAACAATAATAATGAATAATACGAGTCTGCTAAACTAAAACTATCTTAGATAATCGAACTAATAATAATGATAATAATAACAATAATAATATCATACTAGACTTTTATGAATATATTCAAAAAATCATTGCTTAGTGATGATTAGTAAAAACCACTTTTTTACGACTGTATTTACCTATTTATTTTGAGTGAATAAATTAGTAGCGTTTTCTGATGTAGGCTGAACATATATTTCATACTACTGAATTGCTTCTGACATCCCAGACCAGGAAATAATGCATCAGTATTTCGGTGTTTGAGTTAATTGTGTTTAAGGTACATCAATGAATTCTGAATGTGAAATGACTAAAATAGAATAAATTTAGCACAATAATTTCAGCGTTAAATAATGAGTTGTTTACTGGTGAAATTTTGCTCAAAACCATACTGGGTTGCTTCACTCTTTTCAAAGATATGTATTACTTCACTCTTAGAAATCGGTATCCAGTTTGGATTGGTGGTTGGTACTTTCTATAAGACAGATAAAAAAAACAACAGAGAATATATTTTAAGAGTAAACACAGAAATGAAAACAGAACTATAGAACCATTTTCAATCGCATATCTATAACACATGTGGAGAGAAGTAAGTCCCATCAGTGATTTGGTGACCAACCGATAAGTAGACGTTTCACATGCTTTGACTGAATTGAAACTATAAGGAACTATTCTACTGGCATACTTACTTTCTGTGGTAATACAGACAGAAATTTGTCATAACTGACTTATTTTCTGAGTGCAGAGTGTTCTTGATGAGTTTGAGAATAAAGTCAGTTGCAATCACGACTCATTAATTCAGTGGTTTTGCACAATATTTCACATATTTTAGGGATTATGCTACACCATGTAATAACGGACGAGATACTCGGTAGGTGTTTTATGTATGATTTTACATTTAGAAACCCTAGTAGGCTGCACACGTACCACCATCACTGAAACTGATTTGATTTCTGAAACAAAAGCCCCACAATTTCAATACTCACACTGTAGTATTCAGAAGCATTTAATTATTTCCAATAATTTACCGTTGAGTTAAACAACAAAATGTGAAATTATATGAAGGAAATACCTAAAACGCTCTGTAAACATGTGCTTTTAGTTAAGTGGCCATCGACGTAATACTCTGATTGAAAATGTCTTTTCTTTCGACCTTACCACTACAGCATGGTAAATAATGTATGGTATGTTGTTTTTTAATGTTAAACGCTTGATAACTGTCAGTAGTAAGTCACCAAACTTGCCTTCTGAAGTTGTTGGAACCCATAAGTGGAGTGCATGAACAAAATACTAAAACAACAGAAAATTTTCAAATAGGTTTGAACTCACTTCGTTGGGAGCTGTCGCAAAAAGAATCTTCAGTGAGCTATTGGCACCGAAGACAATGACATATGGGATCAGTAGTGGAGAAAACACAATCTACAATTTTAAATTCCCGCTAGAATATCAGAAAATGATAGGTGAAAACTCTTGTCACTGGTATTAAACTTCGCTGGTTAGGCTGAAAATGTGCTCGAGTTGGGAAATAAGGATTATATCCTGAACCCCAAAACTAACCATTTGATCAAAAATACTGATACTAAGACATAACAAATCTTTTTCTCAAGGTTAACAGTTGTAAACACCATACAGAATTGTCATGAAAACTGTTTAAAACGCTGTCGGGAAACATCTTAACTTCCTTAAAAAATGAGCTTAGATAAACACAAATCAGGTCATTTAAAAAGGACACCATTTTGGGTTTTAAAAAACCTGGTACAGAATTTCAGTGCACCTTCCACAAACTCGCATCTTCAGCGGTCCATGAAGAAGGTTCAAAATTACAAAAGCATTTGCATTTTTGTCAAGTGATCATTATCAATCGAACGAATTTCAGCTGTCTTTCTGTTAATTTTCCCCTGATTTGTAGGCGGCTAAGTCAAAACAGTCATCAGGACCACCAAATACATTTTTCATCAGGTTGTATATAATTATTCGCTTTCTCATCGTCATACGTGAATTTAACTTATAGACTATATTGCAAACTAACTTTTTATCTGAATATTTTCATGCATAAATATTCTACTAAATATTTTACTGAAATAAAACTGTTTATCCGTTCATTGTTGTACAGGACTACCCACCTTTCTCGAAACCAAGTCCTTTGGAATGTTTGAAACAATCATGTGCACATATCCTACAAAACACACATCCATTACCTTATAGCGAAATTCTGAATGAAGTGTCACATAAACTCAATCGAAATAACTATTATTTTCCTGATTTCTTACTAAATTACAATGGGACTGAATCTAAACGCTGTATGAAGTCCTCATATAAGAAAACTTGCGGCGAATCTTATAGCTCTTCACCACCTAATACACAAAGTTTACTGTTTATTTCACGAAGACGAAAAGCATTTCGGTCAAACAATACATACAAACGACTAATTGATTCACGAAGGAAAACTTTACCATTCAGAAACTCTAATAATCGAAGATCCCAATTGATTCAATCTAAAGATGATGCTCTAAAACCTAGTCAGTTAGTTCTTATAGATCCACTAAATATTGATGAGTCTGTATCATGTGTAGATAAATCAGTGTATAAGCTTACTCCTGCAACCTGTTCAATCAATCAATTATCAACTCAAAATCATTATTCCTCATCGACAGTTGAACCGTATTTGCAGACTGATCTAAACAACATACATGAAAATTGTACATGTACAATTTGTAGTCGAATGCAAATGTTCAATACCTTATTAAATTCATGGAGTGCAGTGATTAATTTTATTTATAATTTTCACACTAATACAATTTTAAATTCAAATGTATCTAATATTCCTGTGATTAATTTAGAGAACTCAGTAAAACAAAACAGCTCAAACACCTCTGGAATAAATATTAATAATAATTCAAGTCTTTTAACGACTGATGGTCAAAATGATTCAATATTCAATTCACAGAATTCCAACTCCAATGATCCCATCTGTTTAACAAAGGACATACCGCCAAAATAGACAGAGTGAAGACTACGAGTAATATTGATCATTGAAAGAAAAATTAGAATACCTAGGAATTGCCTAGTACAACGAAACTAATTCTGTCTAGGAAATAAATGCATATCCTTTTGGCCTTAACTGTGATGATGTTGACCTAACGTTGAAATCTAAACCAAAATGCACTAATGAAGGGACGGATTCACTCTTATTTATTACTGAAACAAAATGAATGAGTCAGATAGCTTTTTTTCCGCTTAATATACATCTTTGTTTAAATTACAGTATGGTTTTTGTCCGCTTTAAAAATGATTGCTTTTCCTCGTTGACAAATTGCTTTATTGAAATGAATCCGACACAGGTGGAGAACTTGAAGACAAATAAAATGAAAGCAGTTCTGTCGTGTTGCTTTTTATCAAAATAAAGGCGTTTCTCAATGGCTATAAAGATTAACTCTGTTGCTGATCATCTATATACTATTTCAAGTGGTACATGATTCATCTGCCACTGAAGTTTTACTTATATCAACATATTCTGAATGTAGTTTGCACCATAATGTTGAAGAATGATTCTGACCTATCTGGACATTATCCTGTGATAAAGTAAGAATCAGCAGAATAGGAATTTTTATAGGAAATTCTATTCGTGAATCTCTCGATGCTTGATTTCTAGCACTTTGGGATCTACAAACATTTTTGATTATAACATGAATAAAACTACCGTTCAATTACCACTTTAGCTAACTATCAATTGTTGGATTAAGAACTAAAATGTAATTTATATATTTTCATTCGGAAAGTGATGTAGTATTGTTGTAGTCAAATTAGTATGGTTAACATTGAAGTAAACAGGTTTTAGCACTCACTTACGCATCATCTCAGATACTTTCAACATAGCCTAAGGTAGTATTCATCGTAGACTGACAGCAGCCGGAGAACCACTGAAAAACTAAACGTACTGAACTGCTGTTTCGTTCTAGTATGGAACTTCTGAGTAGCACGCATTCACTGTCCCAAATTTGTATGGTATTTTAAAAGGAGTTTATCTAAATCCCATTTTAAAGGACTTAGTAAGCGTCACAAACTAAATTTTTCTAAGTTTATCTTTTGTATCATTTAGCAAAACTTGAATCGGTATGTAAGGGGTTCTCTCACTTACAATATCAATTTTCTTGATTTCATTTATAATTTTCTCATAAGTCTAACTATGAAAATGCGACTACATGTAAACTGTACACACTAATTAATAAGCAGAGTAGTTTAACTCACATTAGTTTATATTCACTGTTTGAAATCAAAACCAAATTAATTACTTGGTTTTGTGAATATTTAATTACGATTATCGTTGATGATAACCGGGAATTAATAAACGTTTCTGTTTAGATCGTCTATTAAAGCTGATTGCTTGAAAAACTAAGTTGTTGGTTAAAATGATCTATTTTAAGCGCACAGTAAAGTAGTTATCTTAAAGATTTATATCAGGAGTTATGAATCTTCAGACCTAATGAACACAGTAGATAAGAATGCTTTTCTTCGATGAATCCATCTTCTAGGCTGTACACTTGTACGCACAAAATAGAGGTGAAAAGCCATTTTCGGATAATTTGTCAGAGGCCACAGGAATTTACGAAATGCAAAACGGATTTAAAGTAAGAAAACAAGCAACACGTCGGACGACTGAAAGGCTGATAATCTCTTCTTAATGGCCATAAAGAAAATGGAGGCTGGTTGTACTCTGGCTAACTGGTCTAGGCAATCGACTTTCAACCAGTGGTTCACGGATTCAAACCTCACTCCAGCGACTGAGGTCTGGCCAACTAGGTAGTAGTGTGATAACCGGCTGTTGATAGATCTACAACTAGCTTGTAGGCACGTTAATGCAGGGAGGTGAACAGAGGAGAATGCGTAAGTTTTGTAGTGGTAGTTCATTCAGTATGAGCCAATATCTCAGAAAGCACAAAGAATGTACTTACGTTTAGTGACAAAAGACATCTAATAAACGTTTATAACTCCCAATAAGGAAATAATGCGATTTAGAAACCGAAACTGGACGATTAAGGGATCAAGCATGTTAGGGTATCATTACCTTTCACAATATAAGTATGGCACATTGCCTGCTGTATGCACACACGTGGATACTGAGATAGTTAAGTGTTTTTAGTTTGGTTAGATAAAAGTTTCAAGTACCACTAGAACCCTTGATACTTCACTTGTTTTATGCCGTTTCTTTGGGTCTTGTAAAGAAGTTCACACGATTTCATACGGAGTTGGGGCTGTCGATTAATTTAGTATCATGGGTTTGACACATTCAGTTATAACCCGGATGCTGTAAATCAATCAATTTACTTTATCCTGAAGTCCAAATTTGAGCCTAAGATTACTTACGACGACATAATGTTCAAGAATTCATTTGTAAAGCAAAGCAACTATCAGTCACTTCTCACTCTTACTACGCTTTACCATGTTTATGTTAATTTTTAAAGTTCGTCTACACAAGCCTACTCAGTAAATCTGTGCCACTGTTAATTCTTTATATCTGTGTGCCAATCATTAACACATCGATTTCTCCTCGCCTACTAGATTTATAGTTTGTTCCATGAAAGCTGTTTTTGAATACTTAAGATTGATCAAGAACGATTGTAGTCTGCTTCATTTTGAAGAAAACAATTTTTTGCTGAATGTACAGCTTTTATATGGATTTCATATCTCCTATATCTATTTGTTAAACTTATTCCACTGTTGTTTGGTCATTTTAAATCTAATAAACTATGTACTAAGAACCACTGTAGCTGAAAGCTGTTTCCTAATATTCTAGTCAAATTCGTACCTGCGATACTGATTATATAAAATTCGTATAAATGGTTGTATCTGGCTAGCGGTTTCCATACATGTCAATTTTGTTTACCGTAGATATGGACAGTTGTATTGTAAACATTAGCAGCGACTTGTTACTTTGATCAAACAAACTTTCTTCGTGACCTTAGAAACAATTTCATTAGGAATTTTAATGCGAATATCTTAAGAATTTGGTCTGTATGCATTATACTCATATTAGGAAACAGAAAAGCTAAGCTTATAGACATGCATCTGTTTAGTAGTAGGAAATGTTCATATAGTTAATCCGACTCGTTTTGTACAATCGAATAATTAGTTCATCTACATTTGGTTGGTAATATGAAATACCCGAGAGCAAACTCAATGGTTAATTCACCTGGCTGACATACAATAACTAACAGTAATTGATCACCGGGAAGTTCATACATTATGCTCATTAGTCTTCAGGTTTCCTCCGCTTTCTAAGATAGTCGCTCGCATTCAATAGAGCAGCCCTAATGCACAAAACTGTTAAGCAGAGTCAGACCCCATCGGGACAGAAATCTCTACTTTCCAAACATCTTCCAGTCAATATCCCTACATCTTACTTAATGTCTTACAACTCTGCAGCTAATCTATAACTCCTGAAACTACGGCGCAAACTGTACGTCAGAAATTTCAATATCCTCACCCTCAATCGAATCGGCCGACAAGCTTCACTAGCAAAATTCTCGATATGGAAGTGTACTGTGTTAGTGAAACACGCATGCAAAACCCAAGTGACTTTATTTCTCCAAATTCACCTAGCCAATAAGGGAAAATGTACCCCGTGAGTTCCTGCCGATTCGATGGCCAGCTCTCGTGGTGCTGCAGGTGTAGACATGTTAATAAGTGCTAAGACATGAGATACACCGCTCAATTGGATCCTAGTTGACAGTCACTTGTGTTATGCTTGACTGATGTCATTCAGGAATTGTGAGTATCCCTGTTTTCTCTTTGTATTCTCTACTTACTAACCGACTGAGTGTTGTTCAGATGGAGTTCTACCGAAAGCCAAACACTCAGATGTGGTTGTCGTGGCGAGTGATTTACATGTACAAGTGACTAAGCTAAGTCAAACACAAGGGCATATAGATGGCACTTTCAGAATCGCAGCTGACCGAATAGATAACTGCGATCAACTACTACAATTGTGCTCAGACAACCATCTACTGCTAACCAACACACACTTCAGACATGAAGAGACATTGTCTAATATGGCGTCCACCAGTCTCAGCTCATCGGTGGACACAGATAGACCATATTGCAATCAGTCATCGCTGGAGAGGGTTGGTCGGTGGAAGACGGCCAGTCCTTCTAGAGTAAGTATTTGGAGAACGACTATGTGTACGTTTCTACATGAATGGGTGTGAGAAAACTACATCGACAAGACCATTGAGAGTGCCACTTAATGATGAGAGAATACTGAGGTAGCTTTCAGCGATGAACTGGCTAGACAGTTATCGGAACAGAACATCACTCTACCAGAAACAGTTTGACACCATCTTCGGTTTACTGCAATAACAGTCCTTTAGAATGTATCTGATTCTCAGAAAGTGGTTATAAAGAGCCAGTGTATATCAGCTTCTTCTGGATTAGTGGGTGCGAGAGAACACATTCCTACAGGCTGCGAACCCAGTGAGGACGGAAGCAACTGAAAAGCAGACTGGTAAGAACTCTACACAGTGACCGCAAACAGTGGTAGATAGTGAAGACTAAAGAGATGGAAAAGCAGTGGAAAATTGTTAATGGTTAGTGGGACTATAATGAATGACAATGTGCCTGACATCCACTAGCAGAGACAAGGAGCAGTTTAACTGGTTTTCAGCTGCTATCCCATTGCTGGTTATCAAGTTGCATTCTGAATGGAACATTGAGGTAGGGTCTCCAACATGTACAGAAGTCGAGAAAGATGAAAGTAACACGAAACGAAGAAGGACAACAAAGTGAAACCACCTAGTATCAGATTTATTGAAAGACGATGGTCGACGATTAATGACCAGGTTAATTGAATGATGAATGGAAAAAGGCTTTCTATAGATATTCAGCAAGTGAACTGTTGGGGAGATTAACGTTGTATTATGCCGGAACGTCATTTGCCAGCAGAAGAATTGGACTGTTAAAGTAGGACTGCAATAAGGAAGGATTCACGTTTAATCCATTAGATTATTGTATACTGTTAGCGGTAAGAACACAATTTTCGCAAACAGAAGCGACAATCGAGTCGAAAGTAAAATGACGAGGTGACGGAAAGTAGTATTGATATCAATAAAATTCCAATAAATTTAAGCTGTCGCCAAATTCTATAGTTTTGGATTAGGAAGGGTGAATTTACAACCAGATACCAACTTACTAAACTGAAGCACTCGAGTATGCACAGTGGTGCTAAGTAGAATGCATGATAGAAATGAATTGTGTGTGTTCAAAAGTAACAACAAATTCCTATGCGGCGAACTATCAATCGCGAATGGGATTAGACATTTGCAAAAACACTTA